GTCAGTTCTTTATTTAGCTGAGCACCAGGGTCCAGGTCTGATTCCACCCTCAGGTGACTGTCTGTGTGGACTTTGCACATTCTCTCCGTGTCTGCGTGGGTTTCCTCCAGGTGCTCCGGTTTCCTCTCACAATCCAAAGATTTGGGGTTTAGGGTGGATTGGCCATGCTAAATTGCCCCATAGTGCTCAGGGATGGACGGGTTAGGTGGGTTGGCTATGGGGAATGCAGGGTTACAGGGGCAGGGGATTGGGTTTGGATGGGACGGTCTTCAGAGGGTCAGTGTGAAGTCAATGGGCTGAATGGCTTGGTTCCACACTTGTGGGATCCTATGATTCTCTATGACTGTCCTTCCACTCGACTGCATTCTCAACTTGACTCAATGCCTGACCTAAGAGTAACCCTCCCGAACATCTGGTTACCCTCCCAACACCACCCAACTAACCTTGATCCGACCTGACTAACACCCTGAACCTGACTACCCATCAATCTCTAACTGCTTATCGACTTCCACCACCTTGCCATTTAGGCACTAAAGAACATCATTCACCTCATCTATCTCACCCACCTACACCATTACCCACTTGACCACCTCACCTGCCTACTCCCCCCGACTCACTGTCCCAGTGACTTAGCTAGTCACTCACTCACCCACTCCCTCCATTCACTGACATTCAAACTCAACCTTCAAACCTACCATAAAGTTAGTGCTGGAAAAAGTTGGCCATGTCTTGTACTAACTCGAACCCGCTGTGGGCACAGCACTGGTGCATTTCCTCTGAATGCCATGCCTGGAGCACCGCAGTAGAAATGTACCGCAGTAGAAATGTACAGCAGTATCCAGTTAGGGGGGTAGATTTACAACAGCAGCTGCATATGGAAGATCATTCTATCTTAATAATTATTTCCTTTGGTAAAGATTGATTTCCTTTCTGGATAAGGTGACTTCAAACATGTATTAATTATTTTTCTCCACAGGTGCTGCCAGTCAGATCTGCTGAATAATGCCGGAATTTTCTGTTTTATTTCACCTCCAGACTCTGTAATAGTTTAATTTTCATTTGCTGTTTGGCTTATTCACAGCGTTACTTGATGAAGTTCAACTCGGAGCCCAGACCATCATGTTTCAGATTCTAAGGTCTTAGAGTAGATTTGTAGCTCGGGTTGTGGATTATGTGGTTGGTTAGCTCGCCGAGCTGGTTCGTTGTTGCGCAGATGTTTCCTTACCCTGCTGGGTAACATCATCAGTGCATCCTCCGATGTAGCGCTGTTGTGTTTTCCCGTCTGGTATTTAAACTCTGGTGTCCGTTGAGCTGGATTACCTCACTTCCGGTTTTCCTTCGCAGCGGAGTATATACAGGGTCTAGCTCTATGCGTTTATTGATGGCTTTCTTTGTGGAGAACCAGGCCTTTAGGAATTCCTGTGCTTGTCTCTGCTTTGCCTGGGATGAGGTTGAAGGACTAAGAGGAGTTGAGGACAAAAAGGGATGAATGTCAGAAGGCAATTTGAGGAAAGGAGAGAATAACAGCCAACACAGATGTTGCACACCATCGGCATCCATGCTTTGGACTCTCTGTTAACAGTTAGAATTTAAGAACAGAAACTCAGATTTTCTTTGACTTCTTCCAGAAGCTCCAAGGGTGATGAGAGGAGCTGGGGTTGGGGGATGGCTAATGATGTTATTTGTAAAGTTAATCACTTGGCAAACTGAATTCAGGGGAATTCAGCATAAAGACAGGACTAAACTTCTGACCTTCCTGATTTGTTTGGTGATATGACAATCTGAAGGGGTAATTGACCATGTTGCATTGGCTCCACCCATTCTATTGATCCCACACATAGTCTGACATTAGAGGTGAGGAGTTCTACCTGAACTTTCGGAGGGAGCAGATACCAACTCCCTAAAGTCCTGTTAATTATGCCTGACCCAATGTGATTATACTTATTGCTATCATGCAGTGAGTCTTCTCATGAACTCAGCACAGTGCCCCTTCTGTAGACAATCGTATGATGGTGTATCCTGTCACCACTAGATAGATCAAGACAAAGCAAAGATAAAGGGTGATTGGTGGTGGTCAATTTGCACAAACAGCCCTTACCCAGTGACACATCATGGTCGAGGTGCTAAATAGTACAAGACACCAACAGTGGTCACCTGGGAAAATAGCTCGCCACCCACAGATATATTGGTAGAACACTAACTTCCAGCAACAGGTGAAATGGGGAGAAGAAAACAGACAATAATGTACACATCACTGTTTATCTTTATTTTTGCTCCAGATTGCTATAGGATACAGTGTGGCTGCAACTTTTCACGTGGGTAATGTGTTGGGGGCCAGAAATCCTCAGCAGACTGTAAACTCTGCTAAAGTTGCTATATACTGCATTGGTGAGTCCAACTGTTTAATCCCATTGACCAAAATTGTGGTCATTCTCTCAAACATTCACCCCTCTAAAATCTCCGGAACAGTTTGGCTTCTCATTGGGATACAGTTCCCTGGGTGTCAGCATCCTCCATGACCTTCCCAATTGATAATTCTTTGTTTATGCGGTTGGATGGTAATTGTTGGTGGGCTATTTGACTGCAGTTGCTATAACAGCTGATCTCGATTCTGCCCTAGCCTGATGTCTACATAATAAACACTTCCGTTAAGGTTTTGAAATCAATCCTGTTGTTTTGGGATATTCTGCCAATGCTGTATCTATTTCCAATTGTTACTTTCCCTGAGAAGGTGTTGGTACTGGTGGGTCTCCTTATTTCAGTTGTTCTGGTGCTGGCCCTTCCACAATTCTGGAATTCTGACCCAGTGACCATGATGGAGTGATGATCGATGTTCCAGGCAGGATGGTGTGGGAGTTGGATGGCCATTTGCTGGTGATGGTGCCCCTTCTACATTGTCTCTCCTCTCCCTCCCTGGGGCAGCAGGTGATGGTGCCACCTTGTAAGTGTTGAGTATTCTATTACGCTCTTGATTTGAGACGTTAGATAATGGAGTGGCATTGGGTGATCAGATTGCCCGTTCCCTACCCTGTTCTTGTAGCCAAGGAGTTGTTGACGTGGCACTGTAGTTGGGCAAAGGTGGTTGCCCAGGAATTTGATGATGAGAGACGCAGCAATGGTAGTACTATCTGAGGTCAAGGGTTAAATTTGAGATGGTGATTATATGGCACAGAGATGGTGCAAATGTTATTGTCATTTACAACCTCAAGACTAGAAGTTATGCAGATCCTCGTGTCGGCTTTTTTCTTATTGGAGGAGACAGAAATAGAACTGCAAATAATCAGCAAAGAGTTCCCATTGTGTTGGTGGGAAGGCCATCAATGAAGCCGATAAAGATGTCTGGAATACAAACAGTCTGTAAAGGTCAGGAGATGTTTCTCCCTCCCTCATCTAAGGGCACTGAGACCAATGTTATAATTTATATAACCCATTTCGTATCATATACCCTACTCAGAGCCCAGCTTGGATCATCTAATTTGGAGCAAACAGGAATTAAAGCTGGACCATTCCTTGTTTGTGTAGCATGCCAGTACATTGCCTTTACCAGGAAGCTTCAGGGCAGTAACTGTTAATCTTAGATAACAGTGCAAATCCTGCCTCATCATGCCTGAATTGTCAGTGTGCATTGTTCTCTGCTCAACACGTTACAATAGGAACTTCAGTCCAATCCCTTTATCAAGTTTGACAGAAGCTAGAGGAACAGCATCTCATCTTCCATCTAGACACTCC